ACAGATAGCTGTGCCAGATTTCCACTGTCTAAAATCAGATTTTTCTAGACTGTGAGCGCGGTCACATGAGCGAGATAATCCGGAGGGGGGGAGCGAGGCTGTTTGCTCCGCAGCAACTTGACCCACCACTGTGTGATCAGACACACCGGCGGATGAATCGGGGGTTTTCTGTCGCCGCATGCTTCCAGTGCGCTTCAATGAGGGACCACTGACGCAACAGGAGTGTGCCTGAGCGATCACTCGGGGTATTCCATCTGCGGCCCATCGCAAACCCGTTTGATACAGCACTTTCCCTAGTATTTTTAAAACTGCTTCTTCGGCGGATTGCAACGGGCTGCCGATGGGTGCGGGACGCTTGCCAGATGTTTTCGTGTGATCGCGCCCTTAAGATCTGCCTGGCATTCGTGCGCATCGTGCGGCTAAAGTGGCATGTGATTGGGGCCTGTATCATGTTAATACTGTAGTAGAGATGGGACCAATGTTCCCTCTAAGCTGTGGAGTCTTGAGAGCAAAGATTCTGCTTTGTGAGCTCCTGGCATTAAAGTTGTGAGCGAGCGATTTGGCTACTGCATAAATCAGTTTGCTCTGGAGCCATCACTTCCTGAGCTGAGACTAAAATGTGTGAGCCAGAGGCTAAAAAACTGAGCTAGCTCACACTAACTCAGCTTAGAGGGAGCACTGGATGGGACTATAAAGATTTTCTCCTTTTTTGATTATTCATATTTCTGTTTTTTATAGATTTATTCTTAAATAACATTTTTTTGGGATGTAATGAAGGCCTGTTATATAGAAGGCCTCTCTTCCGTATAGGTCAGGGTATTTCTCCAGCTGATGTTAACAGACAAGACAATAGCATTCTTTTGGTACAGAAGAAGGTAGAAGGTTCATGGTTCTAATTGTTTAGGTTATAACTTCATAGTGTCTGGGTCAAAAAGGATTTTTGACTTGGTATCAGAGAAAAACACCTTTGTTTGGGTGAGAACAAGCCTTGGCCGATACAACTTAGGTCAGGTCAACTAAATGTGTGACACTATTGTATAGACACACCTTTCTTACATTTGACCAATAAGGAGATTTTCATTTAAACGTTGTTTAATTTTCTGTAACCAATTATGCCTTCTGAATATTATTTTCATGATGATGATATGATGATGTCATATTAAGTATTTAACTTCATGTATTTCCTGATTGGAGCTGCGGTGCCTCAAGTGGTTAAGACGCTGAACTGTAGGCTGTGGAAGGTCAGTAGTTCAGCAGTTTGAGACCTGAGTTGCCGCATGATGGAGTGAGCTCCCATCTCTAGTTCCAGCTCCTGCCAACCTAGCAGTTCGAAAGCAAGAAATTGCAAGTAGATAAATAGGTACCACTTCGGTGGGAAGGTAACAGCGTTCCGTGCGCCTTGGTGTTTAGTCATGCCGGCCACATGACCACGGAAACGTCTTCAGACAGCGCTGGCTCTGCGGCTTTGAAACGGAGATGAGCACCGCAATCCTAGAGTCGGATTCGACTGGCTTTCGAGCAAGGGAACCTTTACCTTTACCTTTATTTCCTGATTGGGCTAAGAAAGCAGTCAACTTTGATCAGTCCTTTGGCCTAAATGTTATCCGTGTTGCAATTAAATACAAGATCTTCCTCCTCGTTTTGACTGCAGTCTTCTATTTTTGACTGGATATTAATTTGTATAACATACTGATGGAATACAGTCATAGATGCAAACAGTTTGTCCTGAAAAGGCTCCCTTGCTCTGATCTGTTCCTGCAGGCTGCAGAACTGCAACCTGACTAAAGCCTGCTGTGAGAATCTCCGTTCTATACTCAGTACAAAACCATCTCTGACTGAGCTACGCCTGGGAGACAACCGGTTGGGCACGTCAGGTGTTAAAGTCCTCTGCCAAGGTCTTCTGGACCCAAAGTGCCAACTACAGAAACTTCAGTAAGTGTCCAGTACCAAATAGGTCTTGACTTCATTCCAGTTGAAAAAAGTCTTTCTCAGTTTCAGTGAAATCCATGGTGGTAATGGGTCTTCTTGTGGAAGAGGGTAAAACAGGCTTCTTCCTGTTGCTTGATAATGAACAAAAACTCTCCTTGCAAAAACTCTTCATTTAATAGCTTGAAATATTATCTGCAGAGTACTTTGCGGAATACTTTACATATTCTAAGAATGTTAAACCAGAAATACAGGGCAACCAGAACTGTGTACCAAAACATCCAACAGAGCAGTACTGGTGTGTAGAAGCATATTCAGAAGGGAGAAGAAGATGCTTCAGTGCTTAAAATAGTCCCATTTTTTAGTTAGTAAAGGTTCAGGTCATAAACTACCCAACACTCCTGAATCTCTATTGTTACACTGTTGACCTGATGTATCTATAACCAAATAGACCTCTGAACAGACCTTTATTATTAATGGCTGCTAAATACCCTATAGCACAAAACTGGAAATTAAATAAAATACCTACCCTAGCACACTGGAGAGCAAAAGTGTGGGATATTGCAGTATCTGATAGTTGGCAACACAGCTACTAGTATTTGATAACCCTGCAAGAGTCAATAGCTTCATGAAAAAGTGGTTTATGTTTTTTGAATTGTTGTTGTTGTTCAGTCGCACAGTCGAGTCCGACTCTTCGCGACCCCATGGACCAGATCACGCTAATCAAAAGCAAGCTTATGACTTACCCCCAAAATATAGAGATTTTGTATTTTACTAATCATAATTAGGCTTCGCTAAATCGTATTAAAATATACGGTGAGCTGGTTTAATGTTGCTTGTTGTTAGTTGCATTATTGTTCTTTGTTATTTATTAGTGAAGACTGTTTTGGAATTGAATGATCTATCGTATTGATATTGTTAATGTCTGTATGATGGTTACTCTCGTATCATCTTTATTTTGTTAAGAATGAAAAATGTTAATTGCCAAAAAAGAAAAAAAAAGGGTAAAGGCTTTGTTTTTCTTCCGCTGTGTCCCAGATTGGAGTATTGTGAACTCTCGCCAGCAAACGCAGAGGCTCTCAGTTCTGCACTGCGCACCACGGCCTCCCTGACCGAACTCAACCTGAGCAACAACAAGCTGGGGGATGCAGCTGTGAAACAGCTGTGCCAGGGCTTGCTGGATGCGAACTGTAAACTGCAGTCCCTACAGTAAGTGGCAGATTATCTCGGCTTCTGGAGTGCTACCTCCTCTGGGGGTTTCATCAAACAGCACGCGTGTGGCCATTGATCAAGGCGCTTTTTTGCGTAGGAAAGACTTGACGGTTTCAAAAATGTTGTCCTTTTTCAGGATTGGGTCTCGTTCTGCAGACTGCCGCAGACCTGACAAATGACAAAGATGTTTGTGAGGCCTCCAAAGGTGAAAGTCGTGTGTCTGTGTGGCTATTTGCTTGAGGACACTCTAGCTCTTTGATAGCCACACAGGTGTTTTTTGGACCTTAATTGGAAGATGTTCTAATACAGCAACTGTGCATTTGGCACCAGACACACGACTTTCACCTTCGGAGGCCTCACTAACATCTTTGTCATGTGTCTCTAGATCTTGCTGCTTAACCTTCCCCTTCCTGGTCCATTATTCACTTATTGGTTCTCTTATTGCAATATGTATTTAAGTTATGTGTACCTCAATATTGTTTGACCTCTGAAGAAGGCCCCAATAGGGCAGAAGCGCCCGAGGGAAGGTGCCACGTGAGCCTCACGGGGAAGGGCATTCCGTGAGCCAAGTGCCACTGCTGTAAAAGGCCTGCCCCTGCTTGCCACCCATGTCACCCCAGGAGGCTCATGGGACAGATCTGAACCGGCGGGCTGGACGATATGGGAGGAGGTGGTCTTTCAAGTACCCTGGCCCCAAGCCTTGTACTCACCATTGTCCTTTACTTCTGTTTTTCCGGCAGGTTGGAGAACTGTAGGATCACAGATGCCATCTGTGGGGATCTGGGCACCATTCTCAGCGCCAAGCCATCCTTGAAAGAACTCTGCATCGGTGAGAATAAGATTGGCGATGCAGGTGCCGCCCTCCTGTGCCAGAGTCTCTTGGATCCAAATTGCAAAATAGAGAAGCTTTGGTGAGTGGCTTGTCTAGAACAGGGGCTTGTCTAAGACCAGCTGTCATAAAAACAGTCTTGACTCATACCAGAGTTCCTTTGTTGGGGAGCACATCCAGCCTGTGCACAGCAACCCTAGACTTTCTTGGTGGTCTCTTGTCAAGGATGACCCTGCTTAGCATTCAAGATCTTTTTCTTTTAATTTGTTTGTTGGTTTTTTAATATTATGTTCAAGTACATTACATCTTCACATTCCTAAAATACGAGTCCTCTATACATTGCTTTCTATCCTTTTTTTTTAACTCTTAACCATCTTTTAATTACAGCATTCTCTTCAGTACCATGCAATTGTGCATGTAACCTATCCATTTCCGCAGCTTCCATCAGCTTAAACGCTTATTCTTCTCGAGAGGGCAATCTGTTTGTCTTCCAATATTTTGCTAACTGAATCCTAGAGGTTGTAAAGATATGCAGCAGAATATATCTCTCTCGATGTGTTTGCCGATCACAGGATATTATGTTTAACAAATAAATCTCAGGGTATAATTCCACATTTACACTCAAGATTTCCCATATTTATGATTTGTACCATTTTCCAGTATTTTTTGGCACCTCCACCACATATGGTAGAAGGTGCCCACATTCGATTTACATTTCCAACATTTGTTAGAAACATTCTTCTGACACTTGGCAATTCTGTCAGGCGACCAGTACCATCCATGATTTAGCATCCAAGATTTGAAGAGATCAGGTTAGCCCGGATCATCCAGGTCGGCGAGGTGTGCAGCTGTATGAAACAAATAGCCTCTGTCCGTGTCACATAGGGCATAGGAGTCTCACGTGATATTATTTGATGATGGGGATTGTCTGTTGTAGCACCTTAGTGCACTGCTATGGGGAGGGTGGGTTAACCAGAGAGACAAAGGAGAGTTTCTCCTTAAATAAACTCTTTTTGGGGCATGTGCTATCCAGCCATAAACTATCAAACCCGTCCTCTAAACTATCACTACTGGATGAAGAGGGGGTGACGAGGGGATGACGAGGGGGATGACGCTCTCCTGAGGGGTGGTGGCAATATGCAGATCCTACTTCTACATCAAAGGTGCCTTTTGGCAAGGTGTGAATCTTCCGTTCCCATGGACACCCTCTTGATTTGCAGATCTGGTTCCTGCTCCAAAGCCATAAACGCTATTGTCTTTAGATCTCCAAACCAGATTAAGGGAGTAGGGTCACTTGCTCTTTCCATTCCAAGAATGCCGGGGTTCGCTGGGGATTTTCCATAGCTCTCCAAGTGGGTGCAATGGCGCGGTGTCTTCTCCATCCCAAAGAGTCATGGGATACATTCCAGGGACGCACATGGTCCGTATGTGCAACGGCAGGCCCAGGCCAGCCTATTTCTAGGCAAGCATGAGATGCAGAACAAAGCAACACACAACATACAGCAATCCCTGAATAAATAATGCATAGGTATTCATGCTAGAGACACACATAAGCAGCATCACCACTATACAGAAATACAAACATAAGCTCATATCGTTACACTGGGGCAAGTGATGCTCTGTGTTCCTGGTGCTTGGGGGGGCAACAGTGGGAGGGCTCCTAGTCTCCTGGCCCCACTGGTGGACCTCCTGATGGCACCTGGTATTTTTGGCCACTGTGTGACACAGAGTGTTGGACTGGATGGGCCGTTGGCCTGACCCAACATTAGCTTCTCTTATGCTCTTAGGTCCTTAAGGTATAGATAGGAACTCAGTCTGGGGCAAGTGATGCTCTGTGTTCCTGGTGCTTGGGGGGGCAACAGTGGGAGGGCTCCTAGTCTCCTGGCCCCACTGGTGGACCTCCTGATGGCACCTGGTATTTTTGGCCACTGTGTGACACAGAGTGTTGGACTGGATGGGCCATTGACCCGATTCAACATGGGCTTCTCTTATGTTTCTTATGTTCTTGTGAAAATGGTTGTGGGTGGCTGAGTTGCATAAGAAGGTGGGCGGGGGCCTCTTGTCAGTTTGAGTTAAGAGTCCATTTGGTTTGACTCTTGTGGGAACCGGGCGGGTGGTTGCTGAACCTTCAGAATACTGTCTCTGGTGAAAACTAGCCTCTCAGTGGGCCGGAATATATGATCGACTTTAGGGAAAGCGACAAAGAGACCCAGATACCAGGTGAAGACTGGATGTATCGCAAACCTGTCAGGATCCTCACGGCCTCTTTGATGTGTCTCCTCTAGGTTGAGAGAATGTGGCTCGCCTCTGTCCTCAGCAAAAACGGTTCCTTGACAGAGTTACACATAGGTGGCAATAACCTTCGAGACGAGGGCGTCGCTCAGCTCTGTGACGGACTGATGGACCCCAACTGCACCTTACAGTCTCTCTGGTAATTTCCCATCTGTCTTGTCTTTATCTAGGACGCTGTTATACAGCCCTTCCTTCAAGGAGCTTCGGGTCGCAAACACAGTGAATCCCTCCCCCATGCGATCCTTTTGCCTTCTCGAAATCCAGCCCTTCAGCTATGTACTGTGGCAGCCCTCTCTGTAAACCTGGTGGGGCTGGGGCTGCCCTACACGGAATTCTGGTGCCACATTTGCTTCAGCCTGACTTAGCTGGGCATATCTGTATTAAGATCTTAGCTAAATATAAGGGCTGAAAAGTTCTTGTCTGCCCCCCTCCGTTCCAGACGGGATGCCCCCCCCACCACCTGAAGAAGATTAATTTGACTTCTGCCTCTTGATGCCGACCAGGGGTCATTTCCTGTAGGAGCGCACAGGAGCGGCGCTCCGGCAGTAAAGAGCCCAGGGGGCGGGCACATGCAACAAGTCCCCCTGTAAGAAGAGCTCTGTCAGCTCTTGGAGGATTGGCTATATTAGGGGTGTGTCGCCTAATATGCAAAGGAGTTCCTGCTACAAAAAGAGCCATCCATCTATCTATCCATCCATCCATCCAGGGCTCTTTTTGTAGCAGGAACTCCTTTGCATATTAGGCGACACACCCCTAATATAGCCAATCCTCCAAGAGCTGACAGAGCTCTTCTTACAGGGGGACTTGTTGCATGTGCCCGCCCCCTGGGCTCTTTACTGCCGGAGCGCCGCTCCTGTGCGCTCCTACAGGAAATGACCCCTGGTCGGCATCAAGAGGCAGAAGTCAAATTAATCTTCTTCAGGTGGTGGGGGGGGCATCCCGTCTGGAACGGAGGGGGGCAGACAAGAACTTTTCAGCCCTTATATTTAGCTAAGATCTTAATACAGATATGCCCAGCTAAGTCAGGCTGAAGCAAATGTGGCACCAGAATTCCGTGTAGGGCAGCCCCAGCCCCACCAGGTTTACAGAGAGGGCTGCCACAGTACATAGCTGAAGGGCTGGATTTCGAGAAGGCAAAAGGATCGCATGGGGGAGGGATTCACTGTGTTTGCGACCCGAAGCTCCTTGAAGGAAGGGCTGTATAACAGCGTCCTAGATAAAGACAAGACAGATGGGAAATTACCAGAGAGACTGTAAGTCCTCGTGGTCCAACTGAGGGCTGCTGGGAGCAGGGGGCGGGGCTTATTGCATGTGCCCGCCCCCTGGGCTCCTTACTGCCGGAGCTCCGCTCCTGTGCGCTCCCGCAGGAAATGACCCCTGGCTGCCATTATTTGTTGTCTTAAGACCCCATCTGGGCGCCTCTAGGCGGAGCAAAATTTATAAATACGAAGGATGTGGCTGTGATCCATTCTTTTTTTTCTTTCTTTTTTAAAAAATATTTTATTAATTTTTCAAAAATTTAAAACAAAACATTCAATTTTTAACAATAACATTTAACCAATAACAATAACAAATACAAAAACCATAGAATCCACCTGCAAATTTAACATTCCTCTATATTATAATTATCCTTTTCTTTACGTTTAGGAGAATAAAATGACTATAGTAATATCATTAAATTACAATACCCAACTATGACGAATAAAAGAATAATATTGAGAATGTTGCGGGCTACTAATATTTTCTAGTACATATTCCAATTTCCCCAAAATAAGATGCCATCGAGAATAAAATGAATCAGAGACTCGAGAAAATTCTTTATAGGCTATGCTATCTGCGACTTTATCCATAAGCAAGTGATTCCATAGATTAGAATACCATGACCGCAATCCAGGTTTTGTTACTTGATTCCAATTAGAGGCTATAGTTGTTTTCACTGTTGAAAACAATAATGTAATTAATTCTTTGTTATATTTTGTTATTGAAATATCTGTCCAATTATTCAAAAGTAGAACTACTGGGGACAATGGTATTTCTAGTCCAGTTAATGTTTTAATTTCTCCTAAAACGTCTTGCCAAAAATTTTGAATTATGGGACATTCCCACCAACAATGGAAATATGAACCAAGACCTCCACACTTCTTCCAACAAATAGGCGATATTGATTTTCTCATTTTATGTAGTTTCATAGGAGTTAAATACCAACGGGTTACAATTTTAAAATTTTGTTGCTGTACGTTTACTGATTTGGTTGACGAGGCATATGAAGTCCAAACTGAGTCCCAAAAGTCCTCAGTTAGGCTAACTTTAAGATCTTTCGACCAAGAATCTGTGTAGAAGGGTAATACATTGGGTGTTGGATCTATTAAAATTCTGTAGATTTTCGATATTAGCCCCGTGCCTTTGTTGTGTGGGGATAATAAAATTCTTGCTGTTATCCATTCTTATCCCCACTTCCGCTCAGGTTGGGTAACTCAGAACTCACACCTGCTTGCTG